TTGAACGTAGCAATGTTTTTCAGTGCATATATGTGTAAGATCGAATCTTTTACAGGAAAAAGCTTAACAAAACGAAATCACAACGAAAAATCAAATAACGCTAATAACACAACTGCATGCGCTTGCAAATTGCCACTTCAGCTCCAATCACTGTACACGATAGACGAATGTTCATGTTTTATCCGACAGATTTCAGTATTTTACAGCCGAAAAAAACGCGGGTATGTCGATTTACCATACCTATGTCAGTTTTGGAGCTTTTCTTCTATATGTGTAAGACTGAAAATCGTGGCTAACCCTCGATCTAAGGAATGATAGCATACGTTAACTCCTCTCTTGCCATATTATTATGTATATTTGAATCGTGAAAACGTTATATGAAAGTTTTGAATTTCAGTGTTCCGGCCTACGTTCCCACGGATATTGAGCGGAGAAGGTATTCAGAGCGATGATGTTGAACGGTCCACCCTGTATACCACGCACGTATACACTTACATAAGTACCGTGGCTTACGCGCTCGATATTAAGTATTCCACTCGCATTACTTCCCCCTGAACAGAAAGTTACATACTCCGCCGCCTCCTCCTCCTCCTGCGCGACGGCAGTGCTGTGCAAACTTAATTAGCGACTCTACCGACGGCGACGACGACGACAGCGGCGGACGTCGCGAAGAAAGACGAGAAAACTCGGCGCCGCGCGGAGGATTCCCGCGGAAAATTGCGCGTCCGTTTTCCGGGAACGGCCAGCCGGTCGTTCTTAAATCACGCAGCCGGGAGGACGAGAGTTTAGCGACTTTTAATGCGACGAGTTCGCGACGATTATAGCGGAGTTTGCAAAATTGGGTTGCGTTTCGATGCCGTTAATGCAACTAGCAAGCGGCACTTTATCATCGGTCACGAAAATTCACGCGATAAATGGATTAACTAAAATTCCACGGCCGATCCATAACTCGTTTAGCTGGAATCGAAAAGGCGCTCCCGTGCCGATTAATTTTAACGCCATTTAGCCGGACTAATGTAGTAGAAGGCTTCGGCTATTTCGCAATTCGCTGATGGAAAATTTCCAGTCAACTTTCACGCAAATTACGCAAGTTGTGCAGCCTATTCTATTGGCGCGTTGCTTCTTTCCCATCAACAAACACCCTCTAGAATTTATATACACTTTTAATGAGCATTTTCTTTCCCCAAGCATTCTTAATAGTTTTAAGAAATTGCTCGGTATTAACAGTGAAAGAAAAATATTTAGTATTTATAACTATAATCATTATAGTAAGAAAATAATAGGAGAACAATTTTTTTAATAGGTGTTGTTATAATGTCAGTGATAATAATTACATGCTGCTATTATCTTTGTGATTAAAACCATAGAAAGGGTATAGCCGAGACCGAAAATAACTATAATTGTTCTCAGTGTATTTTCTCTTTTCCCAACAATATCAATAACCTGTTTCTAAACTTTACTCTTTACACGGATATCTTTCCTTCAAAACGAATCTTTCAATTTGATCCGATATTAAACTAAACTCGTTGATTGACCTTTCGGAAAAGAATTCATCTTCAGAAACGTTACTGTGAATTCCATACTTATTCTTTCCTCGCGATTCTACCGTGTCGTTTCATGTCATACAACGGAAGTGTAAAAACAAAGTACGGCACTGACTTTATGGACGCCCGTCGTAAAGAACAGCGCACGTCGTTGCATCAGGACGAGATGTAAACGTGTTCCTCGTTGGTACCCTTCTTGTAACACAGCGCGCATTATACGGGGTACCTCTCGTCCCGTACGGTGGATCGCCTGATTTTATTATCGATTTGTGGGACATATATCTCTTCTCTTTACCGTTGCAAATGGAAAGACAGACACGCGAAATGCAACACGCGCGTTTTTGCTTTTAAGATTTTCGTCATTATCGAACATGCAAGGATCGTCGCGTCGTGTCAAAGTGCCCTATAAAAAAGTACAACGCACCTCGTAAATCGCGAATACCGCTCTGACGAAAACCGCTTTTTACGCGAGGAAAATATTGACTTCAAAACGATCGTAGAGCCCCCGCACGATAGTTCGGCGACTCCATTTGCATCAGAATAATGCGCCGTATCGCTTTCCACGGAGAAGTATGTAAGTGGGACTAAGTGCATGTACAGGGCAAGATAAGCATAAGATATACTTTACTGATATTCCAAAAATGCAGACTCGCCTTTATCCTTGGCGAGGAAATTTACACGGAATATCTAGCCGAAGAATTTTTAATCAAGGTTAAGACAATAATAGACAAAATCTGCCGCGAGAAAGTACAGTAATCATCGAGGAATGGATTCGATTTAATGCAGTCGAGTTTAAAACATTGCCAACCGCGTGAGTTATGACTCTCTGTATTTCGGGAACTAACAAATACATTGAGAGAAAAAATATCTAAAATATTAATATATTTACTTACATTGCTATAGTAATAAATAAAGTAAAAATTGCTCCATACGCTATATTACATATTTATTATGATATATGCTCTATTAATATACTAATGTATTTACATATTTACTTATATTAATATACATGTTTTTACAAGAAAGTTTCCCGAGTGAAGAAATATAGATTTTCTTAAATCTGTAATTTCTCATGGAAATAATTGTTCATTCTATTTAAATAAAAGAACTTAGACTTAAGTAAATATGTTATCAGTACTCGCTGAATAGTACTCTATTTTTTTTTAATATTCTTTCTCTCAGTGTACATTTTATGAGCCGTGCGCGGTAATGTTCCAACCGAAGTTTTCAGTTATAATAGTTATTTGTGCTGTGTACTCTTATATTGCAAAAATAACTATTACAAACAACAATTTGTAGTGTAATGGATATTTTTGCAATATAGGAATCCGATAGAAGATGATAGAAAATATCCACAGATGAAATTCACAATTATTCCCCAAAATCATCGAAGGGTTCAGATCGATCGAGTCAACGATCCACGGTGAAACGAGAAAATTTCCCCGTGCGATTGACGATAATTAACAAAGGTCAATTAACAAAGAGACACAAAAGCGCTCTGTGCGAGCCGTAAACGCGCTTATTCTCGCATAGTCATATCCGCAGCAACATTCGGCGCTCACCTCGCGAAATTGAGCGAGCGCGCATAAGTGCACCTGCACGTTACGTAAACCGCCGTTAGAACACAAAGGGCTAACTTCCTCCGACGTAATCCCCGCGGAAGTCCTGCCGTAAACACGGCGCGACCGGAAGCGAATCGATCCTAGGCGACCTCGAAAGCGCGCCGGGGCTCACGCAGACATCCTGGAGACTCCGGCCAGTCGCAGATGCTGCGTGGAGCTGCGGCTTCTATTCGACACGGATTGTGGGTCCCTTCGGGCCCTGTCGGCAGGGCCGTTCTGGGCTCTCCTCGTGGTCCCGACTATATTTTCTGTCAGTCGTCGGCAGACCACGGAGCAAGTCGGTCGGTCGGCGGGGATCGCCGCACGTAAAAATTGAACGATCTCTCTTTCCACCTTTCAGTCGCGCACGCGCCATCCTGAATCTGACTTCCCGATCGATTAATCACGTCGAGATTGCTGATCGATTACTCCAGCTATATAATAAATAGATAAAGGGAGGACGGGAGAGAGAGAGAGAGAGAGAAGAGGTGGAAGGGAGAGAGGGAGGGAGGGCGGAAGAGGAGGGTTTCTTCTCATGGACGATGAAGATCGGCGACGAGCTTATCGGCATAGACACGTAGACCCGCGATCTGTCGAACTGCATTCCGCGACGGGAGGGTGCCGCTGACCCGGGGTGGGCCCCGACGGGAGATCGTGAGGCCTCTATATCGTATACTACGGGGTCGAGCCGTAAATAATGGGGACCGGCACGCGATACGACACTCGACTTTTGTGCAGCGTTACGATCGAGACGTAGTCGCGTATCCCGCGCGTGTGCATTAATAAGCCTCTCTAAACGTGAAGGAAAGGAATCCGAGGCGGCAGGTGGGGGATGGAGAGATGGATCTTGGCGGTTTTTAATCGAATCTCATCCGAATTGTCGTGACGAAACAGTGGACGTTTTTGGCAAAGTGCTGCTGGCACAGTCGCGCTTTCGCGTCGGAGACGACGACATTTATCCTCGCTGAATCGTACAAGGGACTGGGGCTCTGTATGTATTATTGATCAAAGCGCAGTGACGTGTTAACTATGGATCTGGCGATGTTGGTGAAGTTTCAGTGTGGATTATGGAAAAGTTGAAGATAAGAACTGCGGGAGGCGCGACGACGTCAACGACGACGACGGGGAGATGAATTTTTGACGACGAATTTGCCCGTAAGTTTTTCGCGCCGCGATGAAAAATTAAGGTGAGATCCTCCTGCGAGACGCAGACCGGCACAGTATAAGGAGGAGAAGCTAGAGGCACTGTCTCGCAACTCGTACTATGATCGATGAGAATGGAGGACTGTGATCTGAATTTCTTAGGGCGCATCTATTAAAGTCTGACGTGTCGCCACGGGATGAGAAATAGTGGCGTTGTGTGCTCGCGATGTAACGCAATACGATAATGTAATAAGGTTTTGATACATCTATAATGAACCCGGTGATCGATACGGTAACGGCCGGTACATCTGACGGAAGTAGAGTCTACGGAAAGTCGTAGTTCATGACGTGATGTAAGCGAGAGAAGGAGGCAACGAACGTTTTAATCAAAACCGACCATTCCGACACTGTTGACAATTACGTGACGGCGTATTCTAAAGCGCGGTCGCGACGAGCTTCGGAGTTCCGCGACGTGACTACAAAGGGCCAAATTGACACGCCGAGTCCCGGCCGCCGACAGCGAGAACATTTCCTTTCGGAGTACCGTACGATACATAACGCGTCGCGAAATTGAAAATCGATCGAAGACGCGACGAGTGCTCGTCTTCAGCATTTTCCGCCGATAACGCGAGCGCCGACCCAACTCGTACGCGCTGACAAGGCGCGTATAAAATCGACGATAGCGAACTGGACAGCCGCCAGTCTTGCGAGAGCCGTGCGCGAGAGCGGACGTCGCTCGTTTCACGCCGATGCGGTGCCACGTGAGGGAAAAGCCAGGAGGAAAACTCGTTCGCACGGCCGCTCTGCAATAACAACATTTTCTTCCCGTTTCTTCCCTCGCGTTGTGGACTCTCGCCATCGCGTCGAGCGACGGAAATGGTGTGAATCGCGCCGGAAATGTGACAGGAATCGCACGGGAGAGATCAGTCGTCGGGCGTATGTGAGGAAAAGAAAAGAAGAGAGAGAGAGAGAGAGATGTGCTTAACAATCGCCGACGTTCCATCGGATTTAATTCGTTCGTTTAAACGACGCGGAAGATCCAAGCGTGATCGTTCTCGCCGCGCGTAGTCAATGAAAAATTGGACGAGCGAAAATCGGAAAATTGATATCGGTTCAACGGACTGAGAGATCCGGAAGTTTCGTCGAGTGTGAACTTGCTGCTCCACCATTGTTGACGGATGACGTTGCAACGAGAGGGAAAAAGAGAATCGGTTTTATTTATGTGCGGAGCGAGCGTGAATAAATCAGGGACTTCGCCGATGCGGAGAAACGCGACGTAACTAAGCAATCGCTGCCATACCCCTGAACGAAACAACGGCAGTTTTCATATTTTTTAATTAAGCGCAACGATACCGAGGGAAAGGAAGCTGCGGTAACGAGATTTAATGTTCGCATCGAGTAAACCGTGCGATACCGCGGCGCGCGTTGCATTTAATCGGAGCATTAATCGAGATCGCATTCGTATTGAATTGTAGGTGTTCCACGGGGCCGAGCGCGGGCGTATTTTCAAGCGGAGCTCGAAAACGGCGCGGAAAGAAGGCAGGAGGGAAATCCTCAAAGGGCAGAAGGTTATTCGAGAAGCCGAGGATCCCTATTGAGACTCCTTACATCTCACGCGCGGGGAATCCCGCGGTTATTCTCAAAGGTTCGCGCCGACAGATCCAGAAGATACTTCCGGGAAGGTGTGAACACAGCTCTATTATGAGATCCCAGGGAAGGACGAGCGCTTAGAGTAACTCGCAGATAAAACTTCCACGCCTGAGAGACGAAACCAATTCTTCACGGGCGTCCCGGAAGGACCCTCGCAATCTCACTCCCGCGCACATATTCCGCCGAAAGTTTCGCGGCCCGCGGCAACTCCTGAAAAGTCTCCCGAGGTCGTGACCGCGGAAATCCTGCCCTCGGAGAACTTGAAAGTCTTATCCCGCAAAGTAAAAATTCACTCCACCGAAAAAGCATAAATCGGGTGTCGATCGATAGAACCCGATCGGAACTCGCTGAAGGGAAGATTCCCGTCGAAGTAGCGCGGGAACAGTTTTCAGCGATCTCCGCGACGTCTTGACGCCGTGAATCACGTCGTTATCCGCGTGAAGCGCGGAAAAGTACCGGAAGCCGGGAAAGTACTGCACAGTTCTCGCTCGACGGTTAATTCGTCCCTCCTAAGAGGAACGCGAGCGGTAGATTTGAATTCGCGATCACAAGCTCTTCGGACTGGAAGGGAGCCGTCGTAAGTCGCGCGATGCACCGGACACGGAGGAGTTTGGAGAAGACGAGTGAGAAGTCCTGGGAGTTTTAGACGGGGAAGGAGACGGCGAGCGAAGGAATCGCGTAAACGAAGAGGAGGAAGGGAGGAGGAGACTGCGAATAACAGGCAGAGGCGAGGAAACGCTCCAGGAATGCCGTGGATAAAGTGTTTGGGTGGTGGAGGCGGGAAGGCCAGGAGGGGCAAGCCACTCAGCGTCAGTCAACCGATCCACCTGCTTGTCAAGGTAAGATTCTCTCGAAACGTTTTCCGCGCGACTTTCTCGCGGCGAATCCCGCGACGAGCCGAGCGAAAACTCAAGACTTACGTTTCATTCGAGCCCCGCTTCTTTCCGAGAATTTCACGGAGCACAATCGCGTATCGGTTTCTCTCCGGAAGAATCTCTTAAAATTTGAACGAGCGGAAGACGCGAAAATGTAAATTCATGAAATCTGCAAGAGGATCACGCTCAAGAAACGTGTCTTTCTCTTTGCTAACAGAAATCATTTGTCTCGAGGAACGCGATAACAAGTGATTATTGTAAGCAGTAATTCATCAAATCAGAAATCTTACTCCCTTAAGTCGAAAATGTCATTAATTGAATCAACAAATTTGTACGTATAATGTGTACTTGTAATTTCAATATTGTACTGATAATCAATGAATATTCGCTCATTTTTCATGGAAACATTTCTGCTTAGCTTTTTTATCTTATATTTTATTGATTTTAGCCAACGAAAAATTCATTAAATTACAGTTACATGCTCCGTACTAGAAATGTATATATATATATATAGGTATATATATAGGTATATGCATTCAATCATAAGTCGTATTTGCCGTGAGGTAGTACACTCAAGAGCCATAGGTTTCGAGTCTCATCAGTATAAGTATGCCTTTCACAAATATAAGTTAAATAAAATATAAGTTAAATAAAATTAATAATTAAACGTTAAATTAAATAACCTAATTAGTAATATTACAGGTAAAATCATTGATATTAGTAATATTACAGGTAAAATCATTGATATCTTAAATATATTAAGTATATACTTATTAAGTATATACATATTAAAATAATAAAACAGAAGTAATAAATAATATCTTTTTTCACTGTTTCTGCGGTCAGATTTCCCTGATGAAAACAGGTCGTTGCTATTAACAGATTTTTTCAGTGAAATTTTCTCAGCGAAATTTTACTGATTCGCGGTGCTGTACTTATAACTATGACCATCAATGACGATCGACTGCATCTCAGTGATAATACATTAATGGCACTTTAGAAAATAATGTGATAAAATTGACGATGAACTGTAGTCGGTCGAATTTTCTCACGGCACTCAATAAAGGGAATGTGTTGTGCAAACTGCAGCGGGGTAATGTTATTTCCAATGGGTGAACTTATCCACACTCGCGCTTCGAAATTAAACCCTCTCGGTGAGGATATTATAATTGAACTTTTAACTAAGACTGGGAATAAAAACTGTGATAATGTTCCACTTGGTCTATCCGACATGCTGGCACATGGCCCCCGCCGTCTTGTGACTATTAATTTTTTCAATGAGCAGCTTGAGCCGGACGGGAAGAGGTATCCTGGTACCCGGTGGTGCTTTATTGGTACTTCATAATTATGACGTATGGGCGGAATGTGCGGAGTACTCCTCTTATGACCGTGGAAAATTTTCGTTCGCTCGATTGGCTCGTAAAATGACGTTGAGTGCCCGAGTACGATCGTTCCCGCGTAATTAAATAATTACAACCAACAGAGGAAATAACCTCACATAACCCGAACGGGAGTTGGGACGATTGTGGCTGCATCGGAGTTTGCGTTGTCTAATCTAAAGATCGCCGCCCGTAACAGTTCTCGCGAATGCGCGAGCTCCGCAGTATCGTTTCCGCTCTGGACATTCGAGGGATATTCGTAGGGAAAATAAGAGCGTGATGAGATTACGGAGGAAACTTTTTTCAATTAAATTCGAAACGCGACTTGATTCATGAAACGAGTAATTATTCCGACGCTCTAGTTTCCACCACCTACGGCATTATACATTGTTAGCCCTCCGTGAAACAACGTCTCAGGTCAACTCGCTTATCCCCGAAGTTCAATAATTCCGCGATAACTCGTATAAATATTCATTGTTGATCGTCGTACCACCCATTTCCTCTCTCGCCGCTCTATCGATTACCCTTCCCACACGAATATCCGATCGAGAGTAGAAATAAAAAAAATAAGGACGCTCATGAATCGCGCATCCCGATGGTAAGCAACGCGACATGAGAGAGAGAGAGAGAGAGAGAGAGAGAGAGCGAGAAAGAAAGGAGACAAGGAAGAGTCTTCTATTACGGGAGAGGAAACCTCCGGGAGGGTTCCTACTTATGATGATGATTATTAGGCAGAAGTTTCCTTCATCTCGGGATGCCGTGAGATCGAGAGATACGAAATCCCGAAATGACGGCGGGGCACCACGGTGGTCAACGTCTCCTCCTCCGCCGGCGAGCTGATTTATTAATTCCCCTCGCGTCGGCCTTTTCCTCGGTTCTGGGTCCCTTTCGACGGACGCCCCGCGGGTACCGCCATCGATCCGACGATATCTCGGGCACGACCCAGTAATTAAGCCAGTAATAACATACGCGGTGTGTTAGCCACTTGTTAAAATTACAACGAGACCCGAGTCATGATATTGCACCGGCTGACTCGTTTTTATACGGATATTGTTACGGTATCGTTTTGCAATCACTGAGAAATCGCGTGACACTTGTGCGGATACGTTCGCCGACGACGAAGAAGCAGAACGACCACAAATTAATCTCACACTAAGTATCAACATTTGTCGCGCCCGAATTTATATGTATTTTCTGGAGATTAATGTGAGATTTCGGAAATATTTTATTCTACGTACACAATAAGAAATTTTGTGTTAAATTTAACATATTTCACATGTCCCAAACAATCCGGCGAAATTTTTGTGTTAATTTAATATAAGATGAATATGTCGAAAAGTAACACAAATATTATATAAAAAATGAACAAAATATAATATTCGTAATATATTAATTGACATTAAAGCATAAAATGTATTATTTTAAGATTTACACATATTGAATATCAATATTATGTAAAATATGCTGAGGTAACAAAATAATACGTCGAATTAACACACGGGTATGTTGAAGATTTAATACGAAAATTTTAAGAAGAACCGATTTTAACACAAGTACAAAATGTATATTTACCGCGTGAATTTTTACTGCACAAAAACTACGCATTAAACCAATAGTCATGGCATACAAACACCTTCTGCAAATGAAAACTATTTTCATTTTCATCTTTAAAGAAAGATTTTCACTCTTCGAATATATTCAAACTGGCAATACTAATTACCGCATCCTGTGGTAAATAATCCAAAAAGGCCTCACTTTCCTGCGTGAAATACATTTTTAACGAGTAATTTGTTACCCGATGCGTCTAGTAATAATGATCTCGAACAACAACCGATATCGAATAACAATGATGTAACGCGGCGGGATAAATCAATCGCGTCGGAAGAAACTCGACTCCGGTAATTATTTGAGAATCAATTACTCGCGTTTCCGTCTGTTGCCGGCGCGTGGCGTTTACTTGTACGTACGTACGCGTACATTGATATGACATTTTTCCCGACTGGCGAGGTAAAATTACAATCCAGGAAGAGCAAAAAGTGCTGCCTAGGTGGCACGAGACATTCGCGCGAAGAGCTCGTGTTTCAGGTTTCTGCTCTCTTTGCATACCGCATGTATCGGCCGCAAGCTGTCGCAACAGACGTACACGAGAGCGCGTGTACACCGTCAAAATAGTACGTCATTACGAGGCCGCTTCGTGCTGTCGCGTTTGAAAAGAACGGCTAATTGACGACTTCACCCGGCGGTGCGTTTCGATCGAGTTGAATTTTCTCGCGGATAATTTATGAAACGGGAGACACACCGTCGGGTCCGCTGAATTAATTCGCGCGCGATTCATTGCGCGATCAATTCACGTCACTGAACTACCGTATTTGCATACCGTTTACGACGGCGCCGTTACAAATGAAATCGCGCGAATACACAAATCGTAAAAGTACACACGCACCGCTAATCGAGCGGCGGAATGATTTTGAAATCGCCGAGCACTGCGCCGAGTTTCAGCGCGTGCGCGCGAGATTCTCGTTTTAATTAATCTCGAATTTACCGAAATTACCGCGCGAGGGGAGAGGTGAAATTCCGTTCGGGATGCGCGTCGGCGTAGAGAATTCTCCGTTCGTACAGAAGCGAGATCTCGGTTTCGCGGACGCTAATCGCGAACGGAAGCGCGCCGAGAGTAAAATCGTCGGCGCACAAAAAAAAACAACGGTCGTATTAAGAGGCCGGCAATTAAATAATGCTAAGCCACCCGCGGTTCGCCACGGCGTTTCCATTAAAGCGGCACTTTAAACGCGATACGCGATATTCCGCGTAACGATTACAACCGGAGCGCCGTTCCTATCGACATATGGAACGCGAATTATCAGCGCGCGTGTGTTGGTAACGCGCGCTCGCACGAGCGAGTGCATACGCGGTGAACGTAAGGAGCGATAAAGTCATATATTTGCAGAGAAATGTTTACATGTTTCAATGACGTCATTGCTTATATTTGTGTCATTATTATGTCATTATTATGTCTCGCAACAAGTAATCAATCGCAGCTATCACTTTGTGTGACTCTTGACATTTCTCTCACTGATTGTTATATTTCAATAGAAACGTTTCTATTTTAATATGTTAATCGCACGATACAATGCCTTAAGCATCTCAACGCACACTGAGAGAGAGAGAGAGAGAGAGAGAGAGAAGTGCTGTATTCGACTAGATATTTACTAAGGTGTATTGGAGTAATCATTTACTTGAACCTAGCACTTTTTTCTGTGTATACTAAATACACTAAATATCTGCGTATATTAGACATCTTTCTACAAAGACACGGAGTTGGCGGCGTCCTCTGTCGCAACAAAACGGAGCCTGACAGTTCGCTGGCACACTCCATTTTCTCACGCCAACTTTAAAAAGCAGTGCCTAGAAAAAAAAAAAGAACGTAAGACCTCAATAAATTCTGTTTGGACGGTAACATAATGCCGGGCCGAGAGAGACACCCTGTAGAAGAGCGCGGAGGGTCGCGCACACCACCGCTATTAGACCAGTCTATGAACAAAGATCGTACGAGAGATAGGCGCGACGAGAAAATGTTTTTCCCTACGC